ATGATTGGTCGAATTTCAAAAGATGTAACAAGTTCTGGACTGTTCATATAATTTAAACTTGACGCTGCTCGTAAATTTTGTTGGAAGTTCAATACCTTTATTGCATTTTATTCGGCGTGCTGCCATCTTGCGGCCAGTAGCCAGTACGACTGACGATTAACATCAGTAGGGCTTACTGTCGGTTAATTTAACGAAAAATTACAAAATGGTGGCAATTTTTCCGGAAGGTTCCTATTATGTTTTACGTTTACAAATATCTTCTAAGTTATATTTAGCGTGAAATATAAAATAAACTTGTATAGCTAAAAGTAGCGATGCGTGATTGTAAATGATTTCGTTATTCAACTCGTTAGTAATCGCCATCGTGTATATAACAATAAATAGAGACGAAATGTCATTTAATTTGAAAACTATTCTTCCATATCGTTACTGTGACAACTGCGCTCCGATTGGCCAGCCCGAATTTGAAACATTTGACGGGTGTCGTCAATTGTTTCACTTCAAATCGACCAGTTAACTTGAGCTTTGATATAATGGACGAAAATTACAAAATTACATATTAATTGTCGATGAAATTAGATTTTGTTTATTTTGTAATTAGATGTTTTGCTGTTTTTCCCGCACCACTGAATAGAAAACAACACGGCATTATTACAGATATTGCCTTTATTACAATAAATACAGAATATTTTTTGGAATATACGGAGACGTACACACATGCCAGTAGTTGGCCTGTCTATATTTCAGTGCAAATGAGAGTTGATATTTATAAGAGCTGTATCGCTAATGTGTTACCAGGAATATATGACCCGTATTTCGTCTCTATTTCTGGTTATACACTCGATGCGTTGTACTCACTCGAATTCAAGATGGTGACTGATGTCACTGTTGCCTGTGGACAACAGTGCCGTGGGGCCGTTTGGAGGCGCAGATTGCGCATCTATTGTTTACAAGTATAATATTATTGCCATAGAGCATTTCTGCTCGTGATCACCGAGCCCTCTCTGACATAATGGTAAATACTGTAAATAAGACGTGGACATGGATATTTTGGTATGGATATGATGAATGAGGTGTTCCGATATAATGATCATTCGACGCGCACCCAACCGAATGGCATTCATTCGACTCGAGTCGACTTTGGCGAATGATTTGCTCATTCGAATGATTAGTTGAAAAAATTAACGAATTATAACTTTTCGAGTTCTTAGGCTTTCGCAATTGTTACACATAGGAAATGAAACTATTTTTCCGGATTTAAACCGCGTATATTTGTTTTTTCAAACAAACAGGATGCAGGAGTTTACAAGCTTGACTGTGAGTGCGGTCTCTCTTATATTGGACAAACAAAGCGAAGTATTTGTACCCGCGTTAAAGAACATATAGCTGATGTCAAACACCGTCGCGTAAACAAGTCTGCAGTCTGCGAGCATGTCATGGATAAACCTCAACATTCAATGAAGTTTGACAAACCCCAGGTCCTTGCAAAAGAAGTCCGTTATCTACCCAGGATGCTGCGAGGCCATTGAAATTAAAAAACATCCTAATTTCAACAGGGCAGATGGTTTCTCCGTACCACCAGTTTGGGATCCAGTATTTCCTCTAATGATAAATCCCAAACAGACATAAGACTGCAGTACTAATTAATATGTTTAGTTTATTCTAATTTATATTATTAATTAATAATAAAGTAAACTTATTCAAAATTCATTCAATAAAATAATTTGTAAAACTTAATATAGCGTAAATTGGAATGTTTTCTTTGTAAAATTAAAAATAAGGTATTTAATTAATAACTAATTGTATTGTAACTATAGTGAAAAAATAGGGTGTTTTGCATTAATATTAGACAAAACTGGTTGAAGACTGTACCACCTCAGTCAACCGTAACCATGAGACCTGTCAAGGGTTCGAAACGTCAGTTTGTTTCAAAAGTTTCATTTTTTATAATTATAACTTATTAAAAAAAAATCGCGGTTAACGGAAAGTACGCGAAACCGGATTCATTGCCTAGTTTGCGACCCTAAGAGGTGGGATATTTTCTTCAAATTTAAATAGAACCAATACTGAGGTACCCTCTTTCCAACAAACAAAGAATCATCCACATCAGTTCATAAATTTTTTATACTTATCGTGTACCACACACTCAAATTGCGAATCTCCTTTTTTGATGTCGGTTAATTATATACGTTGCCTAAAGAAGCTCGGTTTTGGGTTAGGTATGTATATAAAATAACTAAATGTATAATATAACTTACACCTTTATTTATTTACATTTTAACTCGAAATTTATGTCATAATTAAGATAAGGTGATGTCTACAATCTTTGTTGAGTTTGCCTTATTTTGACATAATGCTTGTACCATTTTGACTAAATGGTACTTTGTCTTTAAAAAAACGTAACCCCTTATTCGTTCATATGTAGGTATTAAAATTTCGTATAAACAAATATTGTTCAAAATAAGGCAAAGCTCTTACAATGTCTTAAGATTCAAATTTGAGCAACATTATAAACATTTACCCATTAAATTCTTTTTAAATTAATTATTTTATAGTACAAATATTCAAAATGTGAAAAACTAAAATAAGTTTGGCCATTTTTAATTTACAATTTTTATTCACATTTGCGCACCTGTCGAATGGAAGACGTTAAACTCGTGGAAATTTTACATACGTCAGGCCTTGTAACAAATATATATTTTTTAATAAAAAGAAAGTAAAACTTACTGTAAGATTTATACAATTTCAAATAGTCACCATTCAAAGTATAGCATAAGTACCAAAAGTCAAAAAATATATATTATATTCTATTTTTTACATTAATAACAAATTAAGGCTTGGTATAATAGTAATGACGAAGCTCAGAATCGCGAATTAGTCAACTTGGCAATGTTTTTTACTTTATGAATTTTACTGTAACAAGACGACTTGGTTTTAAGCAATTCGTGCACTACGTGAGCAGACCGTTCCTGTTTGAACCTATTTAGCAAAGTATGTTGGTTCACCAGGTAGGTTGACCAGGGCGTTCTCAGTAACACAACCAGTGGTTCTTCGGGTATATTTCAGTTCGGAGCATACCGCATTAATTAATAAGTGATTTTATATTAAATCTTTGTTAACCATAATTGCCAACATATTACTATCTCAAACATGCTTGGAGATGTCTGCATTACTTTCAAAAACGAACATTGAAAGTTTGTCATGTTTGGACTGTGCGAATTCTTCCCGGCCAAAGCCTGCAAAGTATCAAAACCCATTACTGTCCACTGCTGTATACTTTTAAATATGTCTACTAAGAATGAACTATGTAAACAGGCAAATAAAAACTTACTCAGCCCACTGTCCAGTGTTCGCAATTGCAAGAATTAAAAATACCTACCTGTGCCGTTTAATTTAAAGAAAAGGCTGTTAAAATAATTTTTGTTTCAGCAGTTATCCTAATTTTAATTACATTTTTTTCCTCTCTTTAGTCTTTTATTATTTCCCCACATTGTTTGAGAAAAGCACTATATATGCCTCGGCGGGAACGGGGATCACTTGACTGGTATTAATACAACCCGTACTCGTCTAGCAAGCCCTACTTCCCGGCCTCTGCAATTATGTACTATTATAGATCAATTCGCAATTTTAAACTTCGCATTTAGGACTTTAAAGTGTCAACGGTCAAACAAGAAATGGAATACAAAACATACTTTTGTATATTGAATCATCAAAAACAAGAGAAAGCGTTACAAATACGGTGTTATATAAAATGGAATATTATATAATATGTAAATTTGTCAGCAGTTCTAGTCAAGTTTATGTAAAAACATTTTTATATTAAGAAAGGTGCACCGTAGTATGGACAGCCAAGTTCAAATAATTTGTCAAGTGAAAATTCGTTTGGAATGTTATAAGAATTGAAATTCAGCTATATTGCTTATGTCAGTCATTTCAATCAAATTTATTTAATTGATATATTTGATATGTTTTTGTAAACCCTCACCCAAGACTGGTAGGTTTTTTGCAAACTTGTTATTTTAAAAATGTTTTTTTTTTCGTGTATAAAGATGTTATATGTCTTGGTTTTCAGGGCACACAAGTTACACAGTATTTCAAATAGGCAAAGTGTATTACGTATTTATTCATTCTTCAATAAGTTGAAAAGCACATACACACAGTTATAGTTATAGTAGTATATATAACTGTCACCTTTCAAAATTATAATTTTAAATCCTTCGTGAACGCTATAAGATTCAATTTTGACAGTTTATGTATAAAATATATCAGTTTCTTACCGTACATTATATATTATAATGTATTAATGAAAACGTGTATAAGTTTTATGAAGTTTGAAAAAACAAAATGCCTTTTTGAAACTCTGCGTACATTATACATGCATAAAAAAATCTTAAAATAATAACCGCACCACACATACAAGATTTAGTCTAAAGAAATATGGTAAAAAACATTAGTACAATAGTAAAAAATTACACCTAAAAACCTATGGACGGACCCACGATTAGACTAGTAACTATCGGTAATTTTTTTTAACTAAAAAAACATAGTAGAATTTTTACCTAATTATACACATTGCCTTGTAACCGATATAATAATTTTTATTCATGGCAACCCAGAGCCCAATTTAAAAAAGATAATTAATTAATAGTTTGGCTTAATTTTGTAAATTCGACTGGTACACGAGCAAGGTAGTGTGCGGAGCCAAGTTAATATGACCTCAAAATGTTTTATGACAGTCAATGACAATTAAAACGACTTACGTAAATTAAAGAAATAATTAAGATTAGTATCTTCATACATAAAAGATTCATAATACTTCAGTTTAAGTACAACAAAAGAAATAACTATCAAATTTAAATAATTGGTGGTGTTACTGAATTTAGGGGACATTTTTAAAACGTCCCCTAAATTGGTTCTACCGAGAATCGAACCTACGTGGTCCCAGTGAATTACAAAATTAGGCAACAGATTTTAATATTTACAAAATAATGCGTCTTTATAACACCCCTTAGACAAAGTTGTAGTAATTTCTCTATTATTAATTTAATTTTATTAAATAATTTGTTCAAATTTGAAAAAATAACCTTTGAATTATAATAAAGTTGAATGATAAATGTTATCACAAAATATTGATGTTTAAGTAAGTCTTATAAATAAAAAAATATATGTATTAACATTATATAACATTTTAAGGTGGTATATGATTTACATTTGAATATAAAAATATGAACAAATTCCAAATTCCAACGAAAATAGCATTTTTCCAACAATAAATTTCAATAAAAAACCACCATGTTTCTTTTATATATTTTTTAAATATCTAAATCATATTAACACGTAATTTTATAATGATATTGATAAGATGGCTGAGTTTCAGTACATATTTTAGTAATAGCAATTCCGTGTTAAATATTATCTAGATAATTTAAAAAACATAACAAAAGATGCACGGTAGTGCACCAAGTCAAGTACACGCATTATAAGAATTTTTTTACTGTATAATAAAAAGTGTGACAAAAAATATAGAATATGATTATTAACTTCGACTACAAGTTTCGTATTTCTGTAAGTCATTTTCCCTATGCAATTTCAAGATATGACTATAAAGATTGGGTATAATATAGCAATAGACAAATTCAATTTTCTACAAATACCATGGTCCACAGAACTGTAATAAGGATATTTGAAAAAGCGTGAATTGCTGAAACCATTAGTCGGGTAAAAATAAACTACTTCAAAAATTGCTATATGAAAAATCTTTACAGTCAAATCTTTTGCAAATTTCCATGTACAATATAGTTGTACATAGAAAAAAGTTTCTATGTAAATAAATGTAATTTTTAACTGCCTTGAGATCGCAATTGTCGACGTTTATATTTAGCACCTAAATTTGAAAGCTTATTTAAAAATCTTAGCTCGATTTTTTATTTCGTTAAGTAATTACTATGGGGTCTTGTGGACCATGTGTTAACAAAAAAAAACTATAATGACAAATGGTGACCAGTTACAAATTGTCATATTAAATAAATAATAATAATACATAATTTATTATAGCACTGCAGTGCCTGGGGCAAAGTTTAAAAACAAAGATCATGAACTATATGAAATATATAGAGCACAAAGTTCAATGGTCATTCTTGTAGGCAGTGTCCACGAGTAAAGTTTCTCAAATCATGCAATCTCAAGGCAGTGTTTGATATTTGGACGGTACACGTAAAACTAGAGGAAGTTTTAAGACAGTTATCTCCTGTTGAGTTCGTAACCATTTTCTTTGCTGGGTGTTTTTGGTGGTGGCGGTTTGGCTATCACGTGGCCTTCAAGGCGAAGTGTGCTTTGACGGTGTGATGATCTGAAAAAAAACATTCATATTTAACAACATTGACACGAAGTTCTTAGTGTAAGTATTTTAACTTAAAGTGTAAGCATGTAAGTTCAACATCAGAACGCCCTTCTTCTTCAAGTGCCTGTCCATTATTGAAGATCGGCAGTCAGTTTTCTATATCTTTCTTTGTGCAGAGCTAGCCTGAACAGTTGTTCTACGTTTTGATGCCGGTCCACTCCCTGATGTTATGAAGTCATGACATTTTTCTTCTTCCGACCTTGCAATTCCCAGCTACTTTACCTCTCATGATGGTGTATCTGTCATCATGTCGCAGTGCATGGTCCAGAACACCCAGACCAGAGTCAATTTAGAAAAGTTCATTTTCCAATTTGGTCCTGCCGGGAATCGAACCCGGGTCCAGCTCATCAAGCGCCCTCAGCATAAGCCTTTGGGCCATTGAGGTTGACATTAGAAAATTAAAAACAAGTATAATTTCTTTATTTATTGAGCATGAAATTAAAACCATTTTAGAGATATTAATTATATTAACTAGGTAATTAACCATTATTCATGTATTCTATCGCGTTCTTTGGTTTTTATTATTGTTATACATTGGAACTGAAACTATTTTTTTGGATACAAATCTCGTATATTTGTTTGTGAGAAGTCTATGAAAGTTTTTTCATCTCACTCAACCAAGTAACTTTACAGCTATCAGAGGTAGACAAGAGATGTAATAAATATTATATTTTACTAGCACAATATTCATCAGGTCACATGGTTACGGCTGACCAGTAAAGAGCCCGAAACGTTGATTTGTTAAAAAAAATATACGTGATGTGAATCCGAAGAAATAATTTTATTCCATAATTTGTAAAATATCTCACTTCTATGTATTTATCTATCACTCCAATATGCCAGCTTAATTTTTGGACCAGTTCTGTTTTGATTTTTTTTATTTGTTTTTTTTTTTACAAAATTCGTTTTGTTTTCGAATTTTATTTTTTCTTTATTTTTATTTCACAAAATTCGGGGAGCATAAAAACAAACAAAGATGGCGTAGTGTTCATTGGAGATATCGATTTGGGCTGGCAAATTGGGCTGTATTTGATTTTATGTAAAAATATAAATCCCTTACTTAATAATTTCCAATGAAAGAAACCTGTTTTATTCCTTTTTATACCCAATCGTACTTTTTGATAATCGCTATTTAAAAAAGAGTAATAAATTACCTGATGAGACAAGTAACAGCGAGCAGAATGAGCAACGCCCCGAGCGCAGAGAGGCCCCAGCCGAGGGCTGCGCGTGCGATGGGCGGCACGCGCGTTGCCAGTCGCAGCAGCGACGTCACTTCGCTGGGCAACTCGTCAATGCCCTGCACGGTTAATAATAACAAAACTTACACTATGTTCAACATGCTAATAACCACCGACTTGGCTGTTGCACTGCCTTGTTAGTTTACTCAAAACTCTTATTCACTAAAAGTAACCTTTTTAAACATGGTGTGGCAATGGAGTGCATAATGCATATATATATTTCACCTTACTAACTTCTGAAAGACTTTCTTTCTCATTAGAAAATCTGCGCGCAGAAGCGTTTTTGTAATTCGAACTTGACGATGGAATGTGGTGCACAAAAAAATTAATGACACGTTCAACTACGCGATTTGTCGTACATTATTTATGAAATATAAATCCGTTGGTATATTTTATTTTCATTGATGTTGAAATTAAATTGACAGCGATAACTAATGTACTACTATATATATAACTTGATGTACGAGCATGAATGAATAAAACTGATTTGTTATAGTTCAACTGTTTTTCTTTCATCTACCATTTTCCCCGCTATAGTGAGGTGAAAAGTTGAGTGTTTCGCTCGGCAGCAAAGTTGTTTTGCGTCTCGTGTCTTAAAACCCTCGCTACGCTCAATCTTTCGCTTGTTTTCGATACAAGCACTAGCGTCAAACAATAACTTTGTAGCCTTGCTTAATAAATAATTATTATAACACTAAGTGACGAACAAATCGTGCGCAAGGTGGAAAGCGACACGCCTGTCCTTATCAGGTGCAGTGCCACTCACGAGCTTTAAACCGCAAAGATCTGAGGACACTGCCACTGCGCCTGTCACCCTGAGACAAGTTGGCAAGTCCCATGTACCTGTGATTTCAAAGTTTAGAAACCAAGATACTGACAATGTAGATATCAGTCTGGTTACATACGAACTAGTCATTTGAGTTTATTTAGTCAATTTATTTCCAGATTTAGGCCTGAAGCACAATTTGAAAAATTTAATGAACTTACTTTATTCAAACTTATAATTCTGACGTTGGAAAACTCTAAAGAATTCTTTTAACAACAATTTAATATGGAAAATAATCAAGTTCAATTCAAGGGTACTTGAAGGGGTCGTAATCTTTAACTATACTTACCTCCTCGAACCAAAGTATGGGGAAGATGATATCAGGGAAGTTGGCGACCTGTTTAATGTCGACCACCTGCGACACGGCCAAATTGATCTGAATACGGGCGCGCGCGCGCATCGCGATGCCCATCTCCTGTAAGTGACAATTATATTCTATAACATAGTCAGTGTCACCAACGAACTTGACTCGAACACTGCCGTACACCTACCTGTATTCAAATTAATTACATTTTTAATTTGATTGTACCTATTATTTCGGTTTTGATATTGATATATTTTATTGTGATTTTAATTATAATGTTGACCTTAATTCCTAGATTTATATATTTTTAACCGCCTTGAAAAAAAGGAGTAGGTTCTCAATTCGACTGCATTTCTTTTTGTACGTATGTTACACGATAACTCGCTTGTGAACCGATTTTGATGATTCTTTTTTTGTTGGAAAGAGGGTACCTCAGTCAGTAGTGGTCTCATTTAAATTTGAAGAAAATATTCCACCTTTAAAGGTGGCAAACTAGGGGATGAATCCGGTTTCGCGCACTTTCCGGTAACCGATTACAATAAAACATATCAAATAGATGTAATTTCACGAACTTTTAAGGTCGGTTTTTTTAGATACTGTAAGTTAAAATACATTTTAGTAAAAAAAATGTACAAGGTTTGCAATGAATAGAACGAAAATGTTTACTTACTGGTTGGACGTCAATGAAAAGCCTGTGTTTCTCCGGATCTGGTGGAGAAATGCCTTCCACGGCCTCCCGGAGGCTCTCGTCCGCCAGGTAGAAATGAGGGAACGACAGCATTATTGGGGAGTCTGGGACATAGAGAAAATACAATTACTTACATGTATCAAATGTACGTTTGTCCCGTATGTTATTCCGATGTAAGGTCGAGAAATGATCGAGTAATTCCGGTTCATTTTAAGTAAATACCAAGAAGTTTTTTTTTCGTGATACAGTTACGGGACAAGCGCCTTTTTTTCTTTTTTTATCCGTGAGAAGCAGATGACTCCATTCCACCTGATGTAAAATGGAATTCAAACGCAAAGGCACCCTAATGCAGTGTTGATACAGTCACTGCCCTATCCACCTCCACCCAGCATGCCTACAAAATGCCTCTTCACGCCTCGTTTGAAGAACCCCATATCATAATACGTGCCCTGGAAGAGAGTTCCATTTGCCAACTAAATGGGTCTGGTGGTAATCGACACGCCTATCCATAACAGTTGCAGTGCCACTCAGAGCTTTAAATCGCAATGATCTGAAGGACTCCACTGCGCCCTTCACCCTAAGACATAAGGTGACAAGTCCCATGTGCCTGTAATTTCACCAGCTTCCTTACATATTATAAAAATGCTACTTACCATATTGACAAAGCGACACGTTAAACAAGCCATTGGGCGCGCAAGGGGGTCCTGCTGGGCAGAAGCAGCGGTTGTGTTCGTCATTGGCGAATACGTTCTCTGGCGGCGTGAATCTGTAGCCTTCCACGCCCGCAGAAGACTCCACGTCGGTGAGGTACCTGGAAAATGCGTGTTCGATGTTTATTACTGTCATCATTTTTAACACCTAACCTGGGTGTAGTGTTGTAGCTATAGCTTGGATGACCATGGGACTGAGTGACCGACCACAAAGACAATACTCAATAGACGTAGTAGCAGTAGAGCTCCTTGTGAAAGAGTTTTTCCAGAGTCGTACTGCCTGCCAGCTTACCTATTTCTGCCGCCAAGCAGTAATATCAGCATTACTGTGTTCCGGTTTTGTAGGGTAAGCGTACTGGTGAAATTACAGGCACATGGGACTTGTCAAGTTATGTGTCAGAGTGACAGGCGCAGCGGCAATGCCCCTCAGATCTTTGCAATTTATAGCTCTGAGTGGCACTGTAACTGTTATGGACAGGCGTGTAGCTTGTTCGTCCGGACGACTAGTTCGTCCCGAAAAAAAAAACTGACAGAAATTCGAAATTAGACCGACTTTCGAACAAAAAACGCCGAGGGCAATTCTGACTAAATCTCTTACTCTGGGTTACACATCCCTTTACTGAGCACGGTTCTCCTTTGAGGAATGGTTTGGCCAGAGACCGCCACGCTGGCACAATAATTTTATTCAAATGTATACAGCACTTACTAGACTAATTTGCAAATTACAAATTGGTTGTATGAGCAAACAAGAATTAAACCATCATAACCTATTCTAGGTACGAGACCTGTCTCAATAGTATTATGAAGATTCTCCGTTATGGTAAAACGAAATCAGTAATCGTTTTATTACAGCTAACACTAAAGTAGTGTAGTGCCGTGACGTGTGGGAAGGGAATGAAATGTACGATATGAATATGCGCATTTGCAGTAATAAAAAAGGAGAATAATTGTGTGTGTGTGTGTGTGTGTGTGTGTGTGTGTGTGTGTGTGTGTGT